GTAACTTTTTACAATAATATTTAACATTTACAATAGGATATTTCCAAAATAGTATATTACCAAAGCAATGCGTGAGAATAAAAATTACATTATAAATCTTCTCTCCTAAATGCCCCCACCGCCAATTCTTGTTCCCCTTATATTTTTGTCTAATGAAATAGTGGAATTTCACTAGAAAATAAGTAGAATTTTACTAAAAAATTAGTAAAACTTCACTAGATAATTAGTGAAATTTCACTAGAAAATTAATAGAATTTTTTAGGGTATACCTATTATCTAAAAAAATTAGATAAATTTACCGTTAAAAATAAGAGGTTTTTTACTAAAAATATATATGATTTGACTGAAAACTTAGCTAAAATATACCTAAAAATTTAAGCAAATGGCCTTAGAAACAGGAAATTTATTCTTTTATTCTCAGGCAATATCCCTTACGATCTAAGTTGTATCATCTTTGAAACATAAGTGATTTTGCTTAATTAATTGTATTTTTTCTTTAAAAATATCACTAATTTAAAAGGGGAATATTCCTCTGAATTCATTTCAAGCAGTTTGCCTTAAAAAATCAATGGTCATATAGTCTAATATTTTAGGTAAAAATTAGCTAAAATTTTGAACAGTGTGGGGGCTCGGTATCAAAGGGATTCATCACCAATTTTAATCGCATTAAATCATTTTATGCACAAAAGTACATGAAACATACATATTCTACAAAGCAATATTTTATACTAAGGTGCATAAAAGCAAAAACTTTTTTTTTTCACAATATTTTTTGGGCCAGCACATTTTAACCATGCTTTGTGCATAAAGCTATAAGTAACGTGTGTAAGTATGCATTACATTGTCACTTGGTCGGATTCATTTAAGACTCTGGAAGTAGATTTTGCTTGAAAATTGCATTGGAAAGACTTTATTCTAAAGAGCTCCTTCAAAACAAAAAATATTTTTTATCCGGATTTTTTAAATATATTCTTAATTTGGCCAGGTAATTAAAAATATAATTTAACACCACTGTGGCACGTTGTGTATACGAGAAAATGTACACGGGGCACCTAAAGGTGATTTTATTTATAATTGAGCGGTGTTAATTAGTTTCTAGGATAAAAATAGTACTAAAACTTGTTAATGTTTATTTTATAAACGCAGTTTTCAAACTATAAGTGGGTAAAATAAATGTTAAACATTATTTTTAGTCAAATTTGTGGGTATTGATGATTATGTAAACAGGACTCTAAGTGATGTTTTATATAAATATTATAATAGGATTTATCAGAATTATTCAATGTGTTTGTTAAATGTAAACGTTTTAGATAAGTAGGTTGGTATTGATTGATTTTTGTAAATTTGACTTATTTCAGAATAACTCAGAAAAATTACCGTTGCAATAATATTTTGATAGGCTTAAAAAACTATTTTAAACAAAAATTACTATTTTATTTTTCAGGTCCAATTTTTTCAACAAATATATTTTTCTACTCCCACCTTTAAAACGCCCTTTATCGTACATGTTTCCATGACACTAAGTGACGTTTTAAATACACATTAACAAGTTGTGGGTTTATGGCGCTCTAGTCACGGGCTGAAGTTAGTTTTAAGTTAGTTGACAGTTGTCAAATGTCATACAATCGTTAAAATAAATTGCCTTTCTTGTAAAATAATACTAAATGTGAAAATTATTTCATTATCTCAACACAAAAACACAAAAGTATTAAATAGTTTCTCAACGCCAATATTTGAAAAGTTTATATGCACATTGTACTGACCTTTTAATTTCGCCGGCAGTACTATAACTAAAATTCGGGCACGGACTCCACTGTAAAGTGCTCATAAAACATTTTCTTTACTTTCAATGTGAAAAACTGTCAATTTTCAAGAAATACTTTTCGATTTATAACCTTTATAATATAAAAATTTGACATTTGACGGTAACACAGATTCCCCTAAGATGGCGCTCTATAAAATTTTTTGATTTAAATCATTTTAAGATTTGTTGTAGAAAAAGTATAGTATGCACCTCGTTTATAAACTTTTCTATACACTCATTAATTTAAGCACTCGCTTGCAAGCTCGCTAACTAAATTATAATTGCGAACTAGTTATAAATTTAGTAATTTACTTAGATATTTAATCAACAGTGAAAAATAATTAACAGAAGGTAAAACGCTAAACCAACATCACTAGGATGATAGTATACTATAATAAATGAAGAAACAATATAAACCATTCATAAATAGTATATTATGTATCAAGTTTTGTAAACGCCATTTTAGTTACGAGTTTAATTAAGAACGAGCGAAGCTTGCGAGCGAGTTTTTAATAAAAACGAGTGTCTAAAGAAGTTTATAAAACGAGTTGCATACTATACTTTATCTACGACGAACATAAATAAGATTTTAAAGCCAATTTTATTTGTTAAACATTTGACATCCGTCAACTGTCAACGGATTTAACCTCACTTTTTCCCAATTAATATTAAAGCTGACTTCAGCCCGTGACTAAAATGACCAAAAGCCACTGTTGCTAACTTCAGCCCGTGACTAAAACGCCATTAAGTCACAGCTTATCAATGGTGGAGTAGATAAAAATATTTAACAATATTACTCGCCGACGGTGGACGAGTGGTTAGTGCTGCTGACTACAAGCCGGAGGTCGTGGGTTCGAATCCCACCAGGGGTATGGCTGTTTATTTGTGTTTGTCCTATTGTGTAATAGTCCTTCGGAGGGGACTTTAAGCCCGCGGTCCGTTCCTACCCCTAACCCGCACAAGCCATTCAGTTGGCTTATGGGACTTCTTAAGAAGTAAGGGTGGAACTAAAAGAGCACTTTTGTATATAAACTTTTTTGTATATAAACTAATGTTAGTAATGTTAGTATATATATTATACATATATTAACATAAACGAATAACTATATAATTATTAACAATATATTGTTAATTATTATAATAATAGTTTAAGTCGAAATATGACAGATTTTAAAAATGACAGATGTCAAAATTTGGCACCGGTCAATTTGGACATGTCACCTGTCATTTTTGGCAGATGTTATCTGTCACCGGCCAATTTTGTCATCCGTCACCTGTCAACTATAGCTATAATAATTTAATTTCCGCTTCAAGAAATAAACCAATTTTCCATTATTCTGTTGAAAATTAACTAGAATACACTAAGAGCACGAATTATATATACTTTTCATAAAATGGATAATTTCACCCATCCACTTGACGAAATTATAAAACATTTCACAAAAATGATTTTAGTAAGAGCATAAAACCGCGGTCTATTTAATGTAAAGCACAAAAATTATATCCACATGTTAAAATTAAATTAGAATACACCTCGGAATACACTAAGCGCATCCGTTTCATAAAATGGATGATTACATCAAGTACTGATAATGTTAAAGAAGAAAAGGATTTTCTTTGTTGTTAAACAAAATTTATTGCCAGAAAAGTCTCGTAAGTACTAGAAAAATCATAGTAGGTATAACCAATATGCAAAATATTACTTATGCTGTTTAAATTATAGCCAATCTATAAAATCAAAATTTTGGGTGGGATAAAGTATCTCATTACAGGACCGAAAGCGGTGTTATAATGAAGTCATTATGAACGAAAAATAGATAAATTAAATTAACAAAACAAAAAAATTATTTATCTTTCCCGTCTACATCTGTCAATTATTGAACTTATCTCTACTTTTATAAAATATTTCTTGCGTTTTTTTATTTAATGTAGGTATAGCATAATAAAAAAAGAATATATTTGACAATATTGATGCAAAAATAATATATAATAAATTACCTACAGTTTTGTGATTTGCCCGGCGGTATGCTTGAAATGGCCATTAAGTCTATTTTTCTAAAATATTTTAAACAAAGTGCCCCATCTGGTTTTCTAATTTACTATTTGATTATGTAAAAACATATGCATTAAAAATAAAAAAGTTAGCCTAATTTGCACGGGGTATTTTTAGGTAATTTGTTGAAAAAATTTAAATAATTGAAATGGAATATTTTAAACAATGTTTTATGATTTCAAAAATTCTACCGCCATATTCGCAAACCTAATAACAAAAAAGTTATAGGCTATTTATGATTAAAGCGCATTTGTCAAATTTTAACGAAAAATATGTATAGGACATACAGAATTTAAAAATTTTAAAATATATTTAAAATAACAAAGTTGATGTCACTTTTGGTTAACCGGAAGTGGTATTTTGTTCAATATAGGTATTTTAAAAAGTAGACTAAACGATTTTAAAATTTCAAATCAATATATTTTCCAATGGGCCACGATTGTAAAACACCCAGTATACCTACTATATTTATACTATGTATATTTATAAACTATAAACCCATTACCAAGAAAACTTTAAATAGGTAGGTACCTTTTTCACAGGTAAATTTTTATTCTTACATTTATTTTATTTCAAAAGTTAATCCTGCTTTAAATTTCTTTATAAAATAATGAAAGAACATTATTTTAAATATTTTGTATGTAAACTAATTACTTAGATATTTAAAAAATTGATGAAAATTATTGCAATACAGTAAGTAGGTATGCGCATAATATGCATTAATGTTTTAATAATAAAAACCTTGCTAATTAAAACATACCTAAATAAAAATATTAATAAATTTTATTAACAATATCTGTATTGTGTTTGTTAATATTATTGCACAATTTATTGAAAAACGCAGTAACGTGTGGGTCTCTGTTTGCCGACAATACCTAACCTAACAAAAGTTTTTCTAAACTCTTTCCGGCGAATTATAACAAATGACAACACCGCCATATTATAATATATGCATGTAAAAACCTAATTAAACAAAAACTAGAATAATTATAAACAAAAATCCTTCGTTTTAACAATGAATAAATTAAGATATCATGCCTATTTCCTAATTATAGGTTAGCCATGGTAAACAATAATATTTTTGCGCCAAATTTTCACAACAAATAAAACTATGCCAAAAGCATTTTTTAAAATTATATTTACCCTATCATGCGTTGATAATATGTATTTTCCTTCGAAAAATACACATGCACTCACTGCCCGCATGTACACTCGCCACGATTTAAAAACAGACTGAGCTCGATCGGTTGCATTCGGGCTCGCAATGCAAGCCGTCGTGTAAATTCGTGCACGCGGTGATGACACATTGTTGCTTTTCGAAGATATACACGTCAAGTCGTCGGTTTTGGTCCAAAGTCGTCGTTTTTTTGTGTTTTGTTTTCGGTATGTGATCTATTTATGCTGACGTTTTTATAACTGTGCATAGTTTAGATAAAAGAATAAAACTTTGTCTATTGCCAGAACGTGGATGTTGAGGTGACAAAAAGTAAGGTTATATCGAAATCATAATTAAAATATTTTGTAATTTATTTGTCAAACAAATAAAATTATTGCCATGTTTTATGACAGTTTGTTTTAAAATTCAGATTATAACTTTATTGTCGAGTTTTAGGTATATTTTATGACATTGTGTCAAAAAAAGTTATGACTTTATATTAATTGTTATTGTTAACGATTGTTAACCGTTTATTTTTAAAACAATTGAAAATTGTTTTGAAATACTTTTACACAGGGTGTTCTGAAAACTACTCATTAAAAACATTGACAAGCCAAACATTTTAAAAATTTAAAAGTTATACAAACATTGTTAATTTGCTACTTTAAAAAAAACTCAACAAAACTGTTCTATTTGAAATAGCAAAGTTGATGTCATTTCCGGTTACCTTTTTCCGTTCCCCAGAAACTTCTAATGGACCAAGAATGTGAAACACCCTGTATTTTTTGTTTTCTTCATATTTTATATTAATAATATAGTCTCAAAACTTTTATTAAACAAATTTTTAAACCTTATTCGAAATTTTTAATGTTTGTTTGCACATAAAAGTCATAAAAAACTTAAATATTAAAATCCTAAAATAAAATTTATATCTACATACATATATACATATCATATACATATCATATATATCATATAGGCTATATGTAAATACTTAAAATATTATTATTTTTAAAAATTTCTTGTTATAATATATTTGTATTTATTTTTTTAAATAAATACAAATATATTATAACAAGAAATTTTTAAAAATAATAATATTTCTGAAACAGACTCTTCAAAATTCTGTATAATTGATAGTATATTATTGTGATTTTTGAGTGAAAATAAACCTTGTTAAGAATAAAATATTTGGTATAAATTAGGAAAAATAAAAAATAAAAAACAAAACTTGGTCATGACGCACTAATAGAATTAATCTGTTTTACCTACCTTTTTTTAAATAACAATGTTCAGGTAACTTTTAAATTTTAATTTCAAGACCGAAGCGCCATCTAGTATCAAAATCGAGTATCTCAAATTCTATGGAACGTTCATAGAGGGACCTACTTGTTGCTTTATGTGTTATTTGATTATTAAATTATTTAGCGTATTACTAACGCAATAATTTACGAAACAGTATATTGATAAGATTTTGGTAAATAGTTGGATTGAAAGAATTAACATATGTATTTTATTGTAGATGATTTTAAAAATGGCAAAAACAGCAAAAACGCTTTTAAGAAAAGAAATAGCCGAAAAGTTAAAAGGTATATCAGCAGAAGAAAGGAATAGGCAATCAGAAATAGTTCAGGAAAAGGTAACTAGTAAAAAAAATAGTATTTTTCTGTGGAGCTATCAGTTTCATTACGACTTTATTTTATCTAAGATTATATTCTAAAAGATGCACGATGCAAGATTATAAAGATGTATTGAAATTAGTAGATTGTGCGAATAGTAGAAGAAAGAGGAGATTATTCTACCGCCATCAATAGTCGCACACAACATTTTATTTAACCACCACCACAGGTTATAAAACTAACCACCACAGGTCAATTTTATTTGATATTTTATCTGACATTTGACAACTGTCAAACATTTTTAACCTCATTTTTTTCAATTTAAACTATCAATAATCAATAAACAATCAAGGGATTCATTATTTTACATTTTTACAGTCTGAAAGAAGAAATGTACAGGCAAGTTTTAACGAGCATGTACACCCCTTAAAGCCTGGAAAGACTGCAATATTATTTTAAAATTTAAATTAAAATTTTACCATTTAATATTATTTTATTTTGACATTTATGATGTATAATCTGTGCTTTAAGCCGTAGAAACACATACGTTCTGGTCCTTATGGAGACTCTAAAATTCAACTTTGTCATAGTGTAGAAACGATTTATTTTGTATGCTTATTTTTAGTTGTTTAGTTTACCAGAATTTAAATCTTCCAAAAGAGTATCAGTGTTTTTGAGCATGGATACCGAAATTAATACAGAACCAATAGTTCGCAAACTCTTTGATGACGGCAAGGAATGTTTTGTTCCAAGGTAAATATGTTTGCAATATTATTATTCCATTCACCAAAACGAATAATTTAAAAATCCATAAGGTCGATTAGATATTTTTTGATTACATATTACAAAGAAATAACTAAAATGCATTATTAAAAAAATACCACCGTATAAGAATTTAGAAGTATGTAAAACCAGATGGTTTTTTTTTTACTGTAAAAATATTTTCTGGAAGAAGAAGAATTTCAGGTATATTTTTACAGTGGTCAAGTCAATTACCTATTAGTCCGGGAGGCAGTGAAGATTTTCGGTACTTATTTTCCCAGTCGGCAAACACCGATACAATTATTGGGTTTGTTATTCTGAGCAAAATTTATATATATTTAGGGGGGGGTTTTCCAATGGGTTAAGGCGGAAAATGCGTTATAAAGTACAAATATATTGCACTTTTTTTTCCAGTGATAAAAATAATTCCATTAGTGAGAGATATAGTGAACTTAAGAAAAATAGTCCGGTCAAATTAGACCAAAAAATAACAGTGAAGGTACATAAATTTACATGAGTACGTCACGTATTAATTAGTTTTTCGCGATTTTCAGCAAAACGGGAAGTTTTATCATAAAAATATTTCAGACAAAAATTGTAGATCATAAAATTGTCTATAAAATATATATCAATACTTTTTTCCTACGAGCCACCGTTTCTGAGATATAACGATTCGAAAAGTTGTAATCCTCATAATATACATGAGTACGTCAAGTATATACATCTCTAGAGTTGTAATATATGTTAAAATATTTTTCTATCGGTCATTTTGACTTACACTTAAAATATAAAATATACCTACATAAGTTATAACTATAAGAATATCAAGTGAAATAAAACCCTTAAGGGACTGGGTATAAATTAATTAATTTATACGCCATCGAGACAAGTGGGTAGTAATTTTAAAGATGAATTTTATATTTCTCTCGTCTTCTGTCACCTTATATGTGTTATCTGTCAATTGTAATCTGTCTACTGTCATTTGTCCCTGTCATATGCCACCTTATCGATTTGATTTCGGGGATTTTAATTGGTTAACTTTTTTAAATACCCAACAAAAATTAAACGGGCTTCTGGCCGATTAGTTTTCATTCGATGAAGCTCATCTTTTAGTATGTCAAACTTTGGTCTTTTACCCGTCGATTCGTGTATTTCGTTCGGCCAATTTCGAAAATTTTTCTCGCCCTAAAAAACGTTTAAAAATTTTTCGAAAAAAATAAAAAAAGATCGCTGTTCGAAAAGTTTCCGGCGGATCCGGCACGTTTGCAATATTTATTTTTCCGTTGTCTGTTAGTGTTATATCCTTTTTTTTCTAAGCGCCGTAGCTCGGAGGCCGTTGAAGGTGGACACTCGAAATTTGCATCCTTTTTTCTGCCCACGATACCTATCCGCGGACCAAATTTTTCCGGTGTTGAAAAGGCCCAAGTCCACTTTTTTTCGTTTTTTCCGTCAAATTTGGCACGTTCCGTTGTCTTCGCTTAACTTTCGAACGAGTGGAGATTTTTCGGCCAAACTCGAGGAAAAGGTGCTTCGGGACAAGAAGTTATCACCAACGGCATTCAATTTCTTCTTTCTATATACGGAGCTCCTAAAAAACTACCTGCTTTGATAAGTATCGATATGCATTTTTCGTTAAAAATACTAAAAGTAAAAAACAAGTTCAATTAGCTTGTCTTCCTCCAACCTCAGTTGCTGCTCATCAACATCTTTTTCGGGTATATTACCAAGTTCAAGTGTGGCTTGGTTATAAGCTAGACCCTACAGACTGGGGTTGGAAGTTGGTCAACAACCCATTAGAACCAGTTCAAACTTTACTCCCACCTGCGCCGGAAAAACTGCTGAACACAATTTTTTGCAACTGCAAAAAGGGATGCAGTGCTAAATGTGGTTGCAAGAAAGTCGGACTGTTTTATTTTCTGGTATGTACGAATTGTCAAGGCCGGTCGTGCTATAATCACCAACAGTGGAGGATTCATTTAATTCCAACGAGGTGACATGCGATACATCGCTACTAACGCAATTTACTTGTACCCAGGATGAAGATGAAGAAGAAGAAGAACAAGAAGAAGAAGAACAAGAACAAGAATAAGAAGAAGAATTTAAATGTTACGAATCAGACGAATTAACTTCAGTACTTTTTTTAAAATTACATCGCTTTTATCTTTTCCAATCATTGCTAATTTCCGTTATTTTGCAATAGTTTCAAATTAAACAGGATCACAACTGACCCGTGGAATAGGCCTACTGGGGAAACCACGTTAAAAAACGCGCTAAGTACACTATCCCATAGGTGGCGTGGAAACATGTGCATATTATGACGATTATAACTTTTACAACTTTTCGAATCGTTATATCTTAGAAACGGTGGCTCGTAGAAAAAAATGTATTGATACATTTTTTATAGATAATTTTATGATCTACAATTCTCTGTCTGGGGTATTTTTATGATAAAACTTACCGTTTTGCTGAAAATCGCGAAAAATCATTTTTTTGACCTTTGACCTTGAATAAAAAAATTTCCATACAGGGGAATTATGGGGAACTTTAAAATTTAATTTATAATTATATTCTCAACAATTTTACGGATTTTCAGCTTGTTGTAAATTTATGTACCTTCGAATGTCTAGATTGACCGGACTAAAAAAATAGTCTGGCTAATCTGTGAGTATGGGTAATATGTCTGGCAGGTGGAAAAATTATAAAAACCATTGCCCTTATTTTTGCAGTCCCAAAAATTTTGTGAGATGATAGTTTATATTATAATTACAGCTGCAAATATAGTCTGGCTAATGTGGAACACTCCGAAAGCCTTGCCAGACGCGTCCAACAATTATATAGGCGATTGTTGTCATCTCTACATGTTTTTACTTTTCATAATGTATGATAAGAAAATAATTTGTGTAAAGCAAAATTTAAATATGGCTAAAAAAAATGTCAGTCCGTCCGCCACCAAAAAACTTTATTCGCGAATAACTTTGTAACTATCAGAGATACGAGAAAATTTGTGCAGTTGTTTTTTGTAGGATTCTCTACAAAATCGATCTCTTGACAGTCTTTTGTATCTCCCTTAGTTTTTGAGTTATACACGGAAAAAAATAATCGGTAGAGGCTACCGATTGGCAATCGGTAGCAGCTACCGATTGCCAATCGGTATACTCTACCGAAAAAATCGGTAGACTCTACCGATAAAATCGGTAGTCTCTACCGAAAAATAATCGGTTCCCTCAACCGATTTTTATCGGTAGCAGCTACCGATTATTTTCGGTAGAGTCTACCGATTTTTTCGGTGCAGGCTACCGAAAAAATCGATTACCAATTTTTAAAAAATTTTGTATTTTTTTAGCGAGAAGTTAAATACTCGCTTTTTATTAAATAGAAAATAGTATTTTTTTTTGAGGTATAAATAAATTTGAAGTGCAAGCGCGGGGAATTTTGAATTTCGTGAAAGTTTTCTTTTTTTTTCAGTACTAAAATCACCAATATGTACATACCTAGAAATATATGTAAATTAAAATTATATTTACATATAAAATAATTGACAAAACTGTATGTATTTATAATTGGATAAATAAACTTTCTTTTAAATAGATGATAAAAAAACCCATTTCTTTGAATAGCATTTTTTAATAATTACAATGAATACCATCTCAAAATGTTTGACTGAAAAGAGTAATTTTTATTAACTTGAATATTGTTTAATATTATTTTTAAATGTTATGATTTTTAAGTATTAATATATTTTTTTAAATTTTTTAACAGCGCATCGATGCGGATTTTCTCGGTTACGGCTACCGAAAAAATCGGTAGACTCTACCGAAAAATAATCGGTAGCTACTACCGATAAAAATCGGTTGAGGGAACCGATTATTTTTCGGTAGAGACTACCGATTTTTTCGGTAGAGTCTACCGATTTCTTCGGTAGAGTCTACCGATTTTTTCGGTAGAGTCTACCGATTGGCAATCGGTAGCCTCTACCGATTATTTTTTTCCGTGTATCAATAAAAAAAAGAAAATCGCGAAAATTCCCATTCAAACGCGAGTTTCTGCTATCTGACTTGTGAGTCTGGCGGGGCTTTCGTGATTGTAAATAACAGCCCCAACTAGCAAAGTTGCTTTATAATTTTTAACTGTCGCTGCTATTTTATTTTATAATTGCTTTATAACTGCTCTTCGAACACTATTTTGTTTTATTAAAATTGCCAGTAAAATATATAAGCTTTTGGAATAATTTTGCTTTATAAGTTAATCGTAAGAACGTTCTTAGAGCAAAAATACAAAACAGTTTTACGACAAATTTTAATACTGTTTTATAAACGCTTATACAACAGATTGTATACGACATTTTAGCTTACCAAACAAATTTGTTTTATAATAGATTTATACCGGTGCTATCTGATACTAGGTCATTCGTTTGCGAACGTCTATAAAACTGTTTTATTAGAGCCATGCGAAACATATATAAAATTATTTTAATAAAGTATTATTGCTGACTAAGATGGTATCTTTAAAAAACTGTTATATAATTATCATGAACGATGTCATAATAAAAGCTTTATTTAATAATTATAAAACAAATAGATGTTTGTGAGGATACAAACGCATTTCTTAATGCATTTATAAAACGTAGACATTTTTGCACCTCATTATTACTTTTGTCGGTACTATATGCATATAGCGAGGGGTCACCCACACCAGGGAATCCCTGGACATTTTAGAGGGGAAATACCATAGTAATACAATGGAAATACATAGGAATACAATAAAATATAATGGGAATTCCCATGTATTAATACATGGGAATCCCTGGACGTTTTCCGTTTGGGTGGTTGACCCCTCGGCATATAGTTAGCATAGCCTTATTATGTCAAATTCAGAAATATTGAAGTGGAAAAAAATTAAAAGAAGTGGTGCATTTTGTAAAAAAGTTAAGAAGCGCTACCAAAATATCCTAGATAATAAAGTTATTGGTAATACCACAGAACATACACTGAAATACACTATAAAGGAAGAATGCCCAAAAAAAACAAGAAGTTTTTCTGCTGATGTACCAAGTAATTCCAATGAAAATGCTTTTATTCAGGAGGTTGAGCCAAGGAGTCTTGAAGAAGATGAAGATGTAATAAATAATTGGGAAGTGGAACTAGATGATTTGGATGAGGAAAGTTATTCTAATATACTTAATGCAGGAAAAAATACTGAGTTTGCAAATGGTATTAGAACGTGGGCTGTGTCTTTTAATGTCCCGCATGTGACGCTAAGGGCTTTATTTCAGCATATAAATAGTCGCTTTCCCTATACACTTCCCCGAGATCCTAGGACTCTTTTAAAAACCTACCAAACAGTAACAATAACAAAAGTTGGCAACGGTAGTTATTGGCATTATGGGTTGGAATTAAGTTTAAGGCAAATATTTGCGGAACTATCCGACATACCTAGTGCAATTTCCATCAATGTTAATATGGATGGTTTGCCAATATACAGAAGTAGCAAACTTGAATTTTGGCCGATTCTTTTTAATATTTATGAGATACCTAACCTAAAACCCATGATCATTGAACTATATTGTGGAAAAGGAAAGCCTTCAGATTTATCCGCATATCTACAGCCGTTTGTTGAGGAAGCCAAAACCTTAGTCCTTAACGAAAAAACCCACTAACAAATAGAATAGAATAACGTTTGAAAATGAGGTTAGGTTTTTAAAACATACCTAAGCAATTGCTTAAATGTCGCGCTAGACACAAATCAGCTCTGTTGTTGCTGCATCTATGACATATTTGAGAGGAAATTATTTTATAACTGATGCAGCCGGAGCATTTATACAACATAGGCATAACCGTTTTGTTAATGTTTTTTAAATGTACTTTTCAGGATAATTAATTCGAATAAGCTTTGTGTGCGCGGCTGTTTACTCCCGGGCTTATGTGCCATCTGGAGAGACGCATTAAAACTATAAAAACGAAAGCAAACACGATTTGAGAGTTCAGAGGCGGAGTTGGAAAATTTCTTATATACAGTAAGCGTCCTTTTTATTTTTGTTATTTTGTTTATACTCTGTCAGGTAAAGTGTTGGCAGTAAGAGTGGCCAATAAAAGTCGTCCAAAAGGGTGTGTACTGTACCATAATTTCAAAATTTGCTCGTTAATAATATTAATATGACTTTGTCAGTTTCTATTGAAATAACAATAACAAAATAATATTTTCTTACTACCTCGACTCAAAATACGTTGTTTCGTCCCCGATTTCACGGCAGAAAGTTTACGTTTCTTGCATTGGTCAAGCTATACGCGCACACTCTAATAGCGGGAGTAAAAATTTTTTAGTCGTTAAGCACAATTCAAATTTCGTACTGCCAACATGGGAAACACAAAAATATGACAGTTTTAAACCATAATTTTGCAATTATAACAACAAATAAACAATTTATGTTTTTACTTTTTTACTTTTTATGTTGTTTTAAGTGTTTAATGGTACTTTTATTTGTTATAAAGTAGTAATTTGTTAATTAAAATACAACCTTTTATTTTTACTGTATTGGCACCGCTGAATTACCATGACAACGCTACAGTTTGATTGATTTTGAATGTAAACGTCAGAATTAAATTAAACGTCAGATTTTAATTTTGACACAAGTTTTTTTATATACATTTAATTTTTTCCCGTATTTTCTGCGGGGTAGCAAGAAAAATAGTATACACTACACGGGCAGAAAGTGTGAGAGTCCTGAACTGCGCGCCATGATGCCCTCGGCTTCGCCTCGGGCATCATGGCGCGCAGTGCAGGAATCTCACACTTTCTGCCCTTGTAGTGTAATATACTATTTTGTCAGTTTTTTATCACATACCTACCTTTTATTGGCAACTCTTACTGCCAACTAATGAATTGTGACCAACTTATTAAAAAATCGCAGGAAGTGGTTTTGGATGTCAAAGAAATCATAAGTTGTTAATATTTTCGAAAAAATCTCAAAATAAAAAAACTACTTTTTTGTTTTTAAAAATAAAAACACTATTTTTGTTTTTTGAAGTGATTTTTTGCCAATAAGAAGTGTACCGATGGAATAATCGCCTTCAGTAGGGTGGTTACGCTGGGTGCACCCAACCATGGCTGGGTGCTGGGGCTGGTTTGATTTTTTGTTTTCGTTTAAATTCATGCACACAAAACTTATTTATATTTTTTGCCAATAAGAAGTTTACCGATGGAGTAACGCCTTCAACAGGGTGCTTACGCTTTGTGGTTATGATGCCTATTAATAGTAATTAATTAATTAATTTTTAATAATTTTTTTATCTAGGTCCCCGATCGGGTGATGTTAAGTTATTTTTGCATTTCTTTTAGAAATTCTTGTATCAAAGATATTTTTGCTCTCTAGAGATAAATTTTTGCTATCAGAATATATTAATTTTTGTTAAAGTTTAAAAAATTTAAAATTTTGTTTTTGTTTTATTATATATTTTTTATGTGTTCTACATGTGCATACACAAAAATTAATTTTGTTTTTTTTTACATTAAAATAAAAATTATTCACATGTGATTCATTAGTGTTTTTACTTCTCGGGATTAATCCCGGGATCCCGGGATTCAGTCTTTTTAGTCCCGGCAATCGCGGGATCGGAATATAGCTCTGGGATTGCAATCCCTAACGTGTATACATGGTTATTTTTCCTGCAGTACGCCTCTGTTTAACTAATATGTACCTATAATTTAAATATTTTATAAAAATCTTTCAAAGAACCAAAAAATTGTATAAGAACTGCCAAGGTGATAAAATTATTTTATAACGTGGAAGCCATGTTTTTTGTTGTTCCACTTCGCCTTTCGACGTCCATTTTTAAATATATTAAAAAAAATCATTTTTCCAATAATAAAATGAAAAAAATAACTACTTAAGTATTTAGAAAATGGTGTAAGATGGATCCCTTAAACTATTTTATTACAATACAGGCCAAATGAGAGAAAAACACAGCATGATATTTTTAACCTTTTCTCTTAAAACTCAAAAATAATTAATATATTTGTGGCCCTTGAATTTTGTTCATTATATATTCCATATATTATATAAAAAAATTTCTTTCGCAGTAAAATATAAACCCTCAGACTGCAAATTGAATTTCTTTCATTCTGGTATTGGGTGTACATATTAGAACTAAATGCAAAATGGCTGATGTATTTACTCAGACATATTTTATTTGTCACAAAAGACGCTTTTTGTTATCTTAAGGACCATTAAAAAATAAATTATTCTCAGTGGGTACAATTAAACAACAAAAGCTTACTTTTATAGTGTTAGTCAAAACAAAAAAGCTACCTCTAATGTAATAAAAGTACTTTTATAAAACTGTTTTATTGTAGCTCGACAATAGTTGTATAATTGCTATATCTTTAAAATACTATAACTGTCTTCGATAAAACTGTTTTATAACTGTTGCTAACTATATTTTATAATAATTTTGTAAACGTTTATATAATTGTTCGGTAAAAGCTATGGAAGCCATAATAAAACAAATTAAAGAACTAAATTGCTGCACAGGAGTGCGCCCTTTTTGGTTTTGTAAGCGTTGTATAAACGTTACTAAAACGTTTTTAGCGACATTGTTATTTTATAAAAATAGTTCTGTAAACGTTCTTACGATATTTATAAAACAGATAATTGTTAGTTGGGGCCAGACGTGTATTTTCTACGAAATTATAGTATTATTTATCATGTGACAAATTTTCAAATCCGGGAAAATAAGAGCAAATTTTTTGTAATTCTTACGATTTTCAAGATGCCGCCAGAACAATTTGCCAATTTCATAAATCAGCCAGACTTAATTTTGATTATAGTTTATGACAGTACCAAATAATGGGTTAAATTTTAAGCATGGGAAAATAAGGGCTACGTATTTCAAAAACCGGTCAAATTTTTGCTTCCGCAAATTTTCAGCCAGACTGACTTTCCTTCACTTGGGATGTGCCAGACTGTTATTTCCATTAATAAAATGACTCACTTTAATTAATGTGAAATATTTATGACTGGGAAAATAAGTGGACTTGACTTTTTGGCTCATCTAGTGAACCCATCCAAAAATTTTAGCCAGACACACAAATTGTCGTTTTGTGTCACCATTTGAACAAACTTAATGACATTCACAAACTGGGAAAATAAGAAGATAAAAATCTTCACTGCCTCCCGGACTATATACTATTGGTTTTCTTGATGAACTTTACTGAACTTTACATGGTTGACAAAATTAAAAAAATAAACACAAAACATAAAACGGTCTTTAAAAATAAAGATTAAATTATTAATCTTGAATTTATATATTTATGCATTCAATTCCGAGAATACCAAAACTAGTTAAGAACACAATAACACATTTATTGTATTTTAATGTTTAAATTTAATGGATTTTTTTTTTAATATTTTTTTTGTTTTGTTAAAACAGATACACAAAAACTAATATGCAAATGGTAAAGCTAACTTCAATGGCGGATTGGGAAAATTTACCATTAACCAAATGGAATATAAAACAACCGTCATTAACGGAAGACAGAGAAGATGCCTTAAAAACTGGTTAAGAATAATTTACAAACTGCATTTAGTCAAAAAAGTATCGGAAATTTGTCATTTGTTTTCATATTTTGCCAAAAACACGAGCTTACGAGTAATACAATTATTCAAAGAAAATATCGGAGTTTAAAAATCGTCCTTCCCTGGCGAAAATGAAATGTGCAAAAAGTGTGGAAAATTATTTGAAAACAATGTGCCAACAATGTGCAATCTTTTAAAAAAAATGATGTGCGGAGGGTGGGAAATGAAACATAAAACAATGTGCAAAACAAAAAATTTAAAAGTGTGAATAATCACTGGACAATGTTCTAAAGGGAACTCCTTTTGATTTTTCACATTGTTTGCACACTGTTTCTTGCCATCTGTGTGCCTATTACAAAAACAGATTCTTTTTGGTGACCTATAAAGTCTTTTAAATTTACACATAATTGAAACATAAATAGCCTTATAATAATATTAATCAAATAAATATTAAAAAAAAAAATACTCACAATGTAGGTCCTACATACTGTATTTTATTAAGAAAAATACCTGCACTGTCAACTCTACCAAGGGGATTGCTTTGATCTTAGCAATAGGCCGAGAAGCGATACATATATGTATCTTATAAGATGGAATCTACCTCACCTTTTAAATAAATGTTGTACCCCAACTCAAGCGAGATATATCTAAAATGTGCTTAAACTGTTGAGTGATCGCTAAAACTGTACAAACAATGTGCTATAAAAAGGTGTAATATAAGCGCCATAAATGAGAAATATTAAAGCGTGCTAAGTGTGTATAAAATGTGACATGCGTAAGATAGACTGAAGCTTTGCAAAATGTCTTTAAACAATGTACTAACACTGTGCAAACAATGTGCTAAAATATAATGTAATATAAGCGTGACATGACAAATAAAAAGCGTGATGTCAATGTACATAAAGAGTGAAAAACTTAATTATTTCAAAAAGTGTGAAATTACCTCAAAGTAGCGCGTATGCACATTGTTATAAAGACTTGCACTCCAAATGCACACTTATTGCACACTTTTCATGCACGCTTTATTTTCGCCAGGGTTATAGTTTAAGGGAGCACATAAACTAAAAATATATCACCTATAAGTTGGCGCAATTTTGGCTGATGTTTGGACGAGAAAATCAGGATTCTACATTTATAAAACTCTTTAATATCATTATAGAGGGCAGTTGCGGAATTTTAAATGGCAAAGTCAAAGATAATGTATTATCTTTGGGCAAAGTCCCGGTACTTTTTTGATACAATGTAGAATTCTTCATAACCAATAATATTAAATATTTTAGGAGGGTTAGATTTGATTATTTCCCCTGGAGTAGCCTTTACCAAAACTGGGTTACGTATAGGTCATGGAGGTGGGTATTATGACAAATATTTCCAAAATTTACGGGACAACCAGAAAAAACCTGTAACATTTATAGGGGTGGCTTTTAGAGAACAGATTGTAAATGATATACCGGTAGAAAGCACTGATATTGCACTTGATGCAGTTATATATCCTGAATAAAAAAATATGAAATATAAAAAATTTATTAAATTATTTTGTTTTTAGTTTTTCTTTTTTAGTAAATATAAAACAAATTAACCTCTTTAGTATCAATAGGCACAAAACAGTAAATATTAAGGTTACAGATATAACATCCAAAAGTAAAAATTCCACCCATCCAATATCTACAGTGGGACCTCTAAGGTGTTTAGTACCATTGTGCCTTAGCACATATTCAGTCCACCATACCACTTTTTCCAAACCTTTTATTGGTTCATCATTTAATAAACTATTCAATTCAACCACTTTTTTGCGGTACTTGTCATTATTGGCAACTTCCAATATTTTTCCTTTTAATTCTTCCTTGGTTACAGAGAGATAGTTTATTTCTAGACCGACTCCATATCGCTCTAATCTTTTTATATTCATTTCTTGGTCGGCTATAAAAGGCACACCAATAATTGGTACGCCTGCGTTGAAGGATTCTTCCAAGGATTGAAGACCACACTGCGTCATGAATACCTTAATGTTAGGATGAGCTAAAAAGAAGTTAGTTTGGTGTGAGGAATTTGTGGTAGGTGGGCCTATTAATATTTTACCTAAAATATCCTGCTGTGGCAACCACTTTTTAATTATAACATTTTTAGGCTTATTAGGCAAATCCTCAGACTCCCATTTCCATAAAATTGTATAAGGTAGCTCAGCAAACGTTTCTATAAGAATTCTACGGAATCTTTCGGGCATATAAATACTTTGCACATTTGAACCCAAGCTGAAGTATATAACACCATTTTTGGCATTGTCCAGAATACTTTGTAACTCCTTAAACAATCATTTATTTATCTTAAAAAAGTAGAAATGATTAAAAATATTTACCTTATTTAATGGCTTGAGAGGCTTGAGATGTACCTGACTAATGGCTTTTATAATAGGAACTGTAGGTCTTGGTTCATACAAAATAGGATTAATAGTTAAAAATAGCATGCTTAAATCTTTCTGCAAGTCCTCTATGTCGGGTATATTACTACCTAAATACTTTTTAGCGATTTGATTACATCTTGGCATTGCTTTAAAGTATAAATATCCTCTAAGCCACATGTTGTAGAAGGTACTATACCATCTTTCCGAAAATGTCAGCTTGCCGTGGTAGGGTAGGAACATTTCTGAATATAATGCTGGGTGGTTTGGGTTACCTATAGCGAAATGAGTGCCTATGTAACCTCCCATGGAGGCTACACCTATTACTGGAGCATTAAATCTAGCTCCTAAGGTATGAAAGATGGGATTTATATAAATTTGGATTATGATTAGGTCAAACCTTTCGTTAGGGTTTTGATAGATTTTTTTAAAGCCATCATCTTCAAAAATAGCTTCCGATAACTCGTAGTTCACATTAAATATAGCTTCGATTTTGCTTGTAGTCGACCTTTCTTTGTTCATAAAGAATTGGAAGCCATGGTTTAAAAATATTTTCGCTGTCCCACTCACATCTATTTCCGTAAGGTTGACCAAACTTTTGTCTCTTAACGGAAACGGCGATACCACTGTTACCTGGTGCCCTTTTAGTGATAATTCTTTCCATATTGCTTGGAATACTGATTGGTGGCTCGTGGTTGGCATTTGAAAAATCCCCAGAATTCTTGCAGAGTCCGATATACTTAATACACTGAGTATGGAGAACAATACTATTTTGGAACACATTGTGGTCAACTAAAAACAATAGGAATATATTTTATATCTATAGATAATCATTTTCATTAAAATGTTAAGAGAAACTGGTTTTTATGGTAAAACTGTGTGTAACTAGACCTCATTTACATAATACAATAATTAAATTTCAATTACCCAAGTACACTGCTGCACATGAATGTGGCAAAAAGTAAATAATTATATACACATATATATACCTATATATTTTAGTTTTTATGTTTAGTTTTTGTAACATTGCATGCAGTTAAGTATTAAATAATTAGGTAGATACTTATTTTTTGCTTCAAAAATTTACAATTTGTCATAAAAATATTATTTTTATTTATTTAACTTTAACAAACCCAAACAACTAATAAATATAACCACAACACTACAGAACCGAATACATTTTATTTCTTTTCTACCTAAAAATTGGTTTTGTTTATGTTTAGCAGATGAAAGGTCATTTTCTTATCTCATTTGTTATGCCATTTAAATCGATTTGTCTTATTTTGAATAAATTATATAAATATAAACAATTTTAACCTTGCATAAAATTTTATTGTCGTCAAAACTTGACCACTTCTTTGTTGATCATAACATAGGCACAGGGCCACCCTAACCACAGGGCTAAATGGGCTATAGCCCTGGGGCGCAACCTTTTGGATTATTATTATATACTGTTTTTATTACAAATCTTTTGATATAAAAAATAAAAGAATAACCTGTTCTAAATGAAACAGAAAGTATTATACAAAATTAAATAATATAGAAAATATTATATGGGTGAATCTAAATGAGTTTTACCTACACTTTTATTGTGTTTTGATCTTTCATAATTAAGTAGATATTACAGCTCAGGTTCCAGATTTTTAACCGCAATTAATTATTTTTACAATGTTTTAAAAGTCTAAAACCGATCCTCCGTGACTGTTACTCTTTCTAGGTTAACCTATATGTTTTCAAATATCTGAGGTAGTAAAAGCATACTAAAAATACCAGTCCACTAAGTAAATTAAACACATCCAAAGCAATCGAATCAAATATAAAATATTATTAAAAATTAAAAGAAATAATTTTTATAACCATTTATGTAGGTGTTACAAAAATTGATTCTATCCTCCGTGAATCTGTTTTTGCTGTAATTTTATGCAACGGATGGCGCTTTTATTATTTTAAATAAGCCAAAACCTCTGTTTACGACGTTATAGATGCATGTGATTCCTGAAGGTCAGTTAGAATTTATATGCAGATGAGAGTGTTGCTGTTTTATAATTCAAAAGTTTAAGTTCATTCACCGTGAAGTGTAATATCTCAGTAAGTAGATTTTTTTTATAAATATTTTATGTATGTACAATTGTATTTTAAAAAAATATTAAGGAGTCAAAAGATACAATAACTTATTTCAAATATACAAAGGGATGTTTAAAAACAACATACGAAATCCTAACCCCCGTGAAGCTATCTTCCGTGAAGCTCTAATATTCAAAATGTATGATTTCTTAAAATTCTTGCATTAGTGCAGAACCACTTATGTTATGTTATTACTAGACCTGGTGGCTTCCCAAAAACCCCATTCTAGACTAACAGTGAAACAACCAAAAATAAAAAATAATCATTTTCACTTGGGGGACATCAATATATTCACCCAAATACGTGTAATATTATTAATCAGTTAAATAAATAAAAAAAAGCTAGGAAAATAAATATAAGTATAAGTTGCTCTTGTTTTTTGTTTACTATAAATTTTGTTTTTGTTTATAAAGTTTTTGAATTTTGTTTAGTTACTTTTATATTTTGTTATAGATAAAGATTATTTTCTTCATACAGGGTGTTATGTAATTAATGTTATATATTAAAATGGGTTGTTCCTTAGGGTCCATAAAGAAGCACCTGAAACTTTTTTTTTCTAAATTCCAAAGTCTAAAAATAATTTATAATAACCTTTATTCTACCAAAAAGTACGCCACTGATCGTCTAGGAACTTTAGGTTAATCTGGTGGATTTATTATGTTATGGTTGGTAACAACAGTGTTTCCAAAATCTCTCAAAAAAGTTGACAAACATTGTTTAAATTTAGCTTAATTACAAAAATGACAAAATTAACAATGCAAATTGTCAATTTGGCGTTTTTATTAATTGTTGGTTATGTCATTTTTGTACTGAAGGCAAAGATTAAATATACTATATTTAATCTTTGCTGAAGGTAAATTCAAACAAAATCTGCCAACTTTTATGACAGAATCTAGTGCATTTCTTTTAAATTTTAGGTTATGTTTTCAAATTGTAAATATCTTAACTAGCTTTTGGATTTATTTACACAAATTAAATGTTTAAAGTTTAACCTGTGAACTGGTCCCAATTTCATCTGAGTAAACAGAGAAAAAAACTGATTAAAAAATTAATTTTGTGGTTATGGATTTCAAATTTCAAAGGTACTAAATTTTCTAATCATTGCTTAAGCTAATAGCTGGATCAGTAAATAAATACAGAAGGGTATTAGAGCTTTAAGGGCATAAAACTTTTGTATTTATTGAGTTTTTATTTATTTTTTGCAAAAAAAATTTTTAGTAACAATGTTTTACATCTTGCAACGCATAGCTACTTTGTTGGTTGGTATCTATGTACTCACAAAATGTGTAACCAGTGGCGTATCACAAAAAATATAAAAAACTTCTAATGCATATTTTTTCTTTATCTTTGGAAAAATGTTTTTTTAAATATTTTTCCTTTATTCCTTATGTCAAAAGGTATTCAGTAGGTATTTTAATATATAACATTAATTACATAACACCCTGTATAGTTTTTTTTTAATTTTGTATGAATTGTATGTGTTTATTTAGTGTAATGATAATAAATGAACTTTTTCTAGTTCTAAAACTTTTGTATAACTTGTATAACCCTTCCCACTAACACCTCTTATGAAGAAGGGCGCATTATTTTTAGTAGCCCACAGGCGCTGAATATCCTAAGACGGCCCTGCATAGGCACATGATAAATCATGATGGGCCAGTAATTAGCGTCGGTAATTGCCCGATTTTTTTATGCACCGTGATTTGGACCAATTATAAAATTTAACATTTCTCTATCTCTTCAAAGTCGCATTTTACAAAATTTTCAGGAGAATTTTATTTGATACTTTCTCTGACAACTGTCAAACAGTTTTAACCTCATTTTTTTAAATTTTAACAAGAAATAAACTATCATTATTTCACCCACTATCAACATGTTGATAGTGGGTGAAATAATGAACTCCCTGATAGTTTATTTCTGATAGCAAAATTGGATTCTAAAAATCTTCTAAGAAGATACGACTCGGAATAATGGAATATTCTTAGAACCTTCCCTTATTGCTAAGAATGTTCTTAGGGACTTTTAAAACATTCAATAGATACCCTTTTAATGATGCAAGTAGATTCTTAGAAGCTTCTTAAAACCTTCCTAAAAAGCAATCTAAGAACATTTTAAGAATACGTTTTTGGAATGTTCTTAGAAGGTTTCTTATGGAGCTTCTAGGAAGCTTTTGAGAATATTTCCAAATATGTCAGATACCCACGTTCTAATATGTTGTATTCTACATTCGTAAAATTCTTCAGGAGACGACAAATACGCCTCACTGTCATAATATTGTAGCGAGTACCGCTCTGGATATCGGAGTGATGACTCATCGCCGGTGACTCAGCGCTCGAATAATCGAGAGTGTGGAGCTCGCTGGAATGTTCCAGAAGACCTTGGCGCTGAATATATAAGAAACGGAGCAGCACACGGCAGGCAGTTAAGATTTGGTACTCGCGGCGAAATAAATAAATATAAGTGCAAATAAATAGACTCTTGAACAATAGTGATATATAAATAATTAGTAGTTAAGTGTTTAGTTAGTTTTATAGTGTTTTAAGTGTAGTTAAGTTATAAAATAAATAGTTTAGTTCGTTAATAAACCAGTGCGTGTTTTTATTCACACTACGAACAGTTAAAAACGTTACAATTGGTGTCAGGAGTGCGGTTAGTGTGAAAATTCGCGAAAATGGTTTCGTTAATGGACTTAAAAGTGGCGGACCTTAAGCGGGAGCTGGAAGAAAGGGAATGTGAGACCACTGGAAAAAAAGAATGTGTTGCAGCAGCGGCTTCGAGAA